GACTCCCGCGGCTTCCTCATAGGGCCCCCCCTGGCTCAGAGACTGGGGATCGGCTTCGTGCTGATACGGAAAAAAGGGAAGCTTCCTGGTCCGACCGAGTCGGTCTCCTACGCCCTTGAGTATGGCAAGGTAATACCTGGGGAGAAAAGGGTTTCCAGGCTGGGTGATGGAGGGCCGGGGGGTGTCAGCAAGGGGATGGGGTGATAAAACCAACGGGGCGGTCCCCAAGCTGGGTTTCGCAGCCAGTGCTGATGCCACGGGCAGCCTGGCACGGCACAAGCTTTAGAAGCGGCTCTGAGCTTCATCGTGCCCTGGCATGGCGGCTCCCTCCCCGAGCTGTGGACATGTGGTTTGTGCTGGTGAGCTGCACTGTGAGTTTGTTGTGGTTTTTTTTTTTTTTTTTTTTGGGAGGGGTGATAACGACTTGATGCTAAATCGCTTTCTTTGGCTTGAATTCAGGGGAATGAACATGGAGTGTGTTTCCCACTCTTACAGTAAGTGCTATAAGTAAATGCCTTTATTGCATGGCTTCAAAACAGAGTGCTCGCCTCGTAACGCCGCAGCCTCCCTGATTAAAGAGCAGAGGTGTAAGCCTAATAACACGCTACCACTGGTAACTAACGGCACCCAGGGACCGGCAGCAGAAACACCAAACCTAGGCAGTATTTATGAGGACTGTTTGGGCCAACCCCTGCATGGGACAAGTTCATCTGACACGAGACGTGCCTGTGATGGTTTGGATCTGGCTTGTTGATGCTGTCAAGGCAGAGTGCTCCAGCCCAGTGCATTACAGGAGATTTTCCCCACTGGAGAGCTGCTTCAGGATAAAGTTTCACGATGGGACCATAACTCATTTGATGAATGTTCAGGATCTTGACGTGCCAGAGGGTTGGCCCAGCAGTCACCTAACCCGCTATATATTTTCGTGGCACTCCCCTGTAGCTGGAGTATGTGGTTTTGGGGGTTTTAGGTGCTGAGTGTTAAGGTTGATCTTGCTGAAGACTTGTCTGCATTCCACCATGTGTTAGCAGTTTGTGAAGTGTTTCTCTGTAAGGCAAGACTAAAATGAAGCTACTCTTTCCATCCTGCAGGCTGAACTTGAAATCCAGAGTGACGCCGTGGAACCGGGACAAAAAGTAGTTATTGTAGATGACTTGCTTGCAACTGGAGGTGAGAGAAGCGGACGGTGTTAGAGCACGTGTAACCCACATACGCGTGCGTTGGGTGACAGCAGGAGCGGCCGTGGCGTTTGAAGCGTACCTCAGCACTGCTCCTCGAGTGACGAAGTTTCTACTTAACCTCTGTGTCATGCAGGTACCATGTGTGCAGCGTGTGAGCTGATGAAGAGGCTGAAGGCTGAAGTCCTGGAGTGCCTGGTGATCATAGAGTTAAAACTCCTGAAAGGGTCGGAAAAGCTCAAGTCCGTCCCTTTCTACTCTCTGCTGCAGTATGACTGAGGAGGAGCTGGGAGAAGGGAATGCACGAGCTGTGCACGAGTTTGGGCTTTATTCAGTGACTCTTGATGTCACGAGGGGGTGGGCGGGGGGGGGAACCTACAATTTTTCTTTTTGCTGGATGCTGTACAATCATAAGTCCTATTTATTTTCCAAGCCACAGATTAAGTTGTGTTGAGTGTAAGGATCCTTTTTGGAGTTCATCCTTTTGGGAAGAAGGAACAGCCTGACTGGTTTTGGAGAGGGAAACCAAGATGCATCTTCACTGATTTTTTATTTTTTTTTAGGAGACCAAAGTGAAAATACTCCTGCTGAGGCGGGAGAGGTCTGATAGCTTTGGGAGCCCAGCATTCCCCTTCAGTTGAGCCGTGCCTGGTCAGCCTCCTAGGAACCCGTTAAAAGTTTGCCAAAGAAACACAGATGACAGGCACGAAGTGATTATTTGTCTAAGGGATAAACTCTGCAGAGGATGGTCTGGTTGCTCTCTGCTGTTGCTCACACCAAAATAGACTGCTCTTTAATTAAGGTAGTGCTTGCTAAGGAGAATTCAGTGCCTGCCCAGCCCTGTGTCCTGAAATCAGGAGGCAGCCACTGCCAACACAACGGAGGTTGCTGGTGTAGGTGAGCTCAAACACCATGTCAACTTGCAGCTTGGCTCGTGCTCTCCTTCCCTTGAGACGGCAGGACGCTGAAGGTCTCTGCTGTAGGAAGCTGTCTGCCTTCCCGTGGTCCAGGGTAGTTCTTAGCAGTTGGTTTTGCAAAACCAGGAGCAATGTACATCACAAGACGTAGCACACAGCTGGGTGACGGGCAGTGAGGAAGGGGGCCATGCACATGCCCAGGGCTGTTTGCCTGCCTTCCATCTAGCAGCACTGGTACCTACCAAAGCCTGCAGCTCCAGCCAGGGCTGGCACCCTGAATATTAGAAATATTCATGTTTGGCACAAATTCCCCGTCTGCTGCAACTTACCTGACTCCCTGTGCGCTGACTTCTCTGTGTCTTGTTCTTCCCCTGCTGTGTTCTTCTTTGGGCACCAGGACACTGAAAGGTTGGTACCAGTTTGGAGCCCATTCTTGTCAGTATGTTTGGTGTCAGATAAGGCCACAGGAAAGAAAGAAAAGGTGTGTTAAGCTTGCAGCTGAGTGCTAGCGATCTCACTCAGGTTGTGTGATGGATGAAGTGGGGTTTGGAGATGCTCCCTATAGCATGGTTCAGGTTGGTCACAGGAGTAGCTAAGACCCAGTGTGCCAAAACTTCCGCATACCTGAAAACATAAGGGACTGCCCCTGTCTTAGCAGGGGCTGAACTCACTGGTAAAATAAATGTTGACTTATTTTTATTTTTTCTAAACTGTCTCAGAGCCGTTCTTGCAGTAGCTGAAGCTATTAATTACCCTTGTGAGCGTCTTCCTCCAAAACCAGGCTGTCAGTGGAGAGTGAGGCTGTGGTGTGAGCTCCCCCTTGCCACCCCAAATGCACGGAAGAAAAGTTTGCAAGGGCTGAGCAGTTCAGGTATCTTTTCTCCATTCCTGGCACCCACCTCTGGCTGGAGCCAGGGGGGAACCCAGGCTGGTCCTGCTGGGTTGCAGTGGAAGTGCCCAGTGCCGGTGGGAGCGTAGACCAAGCCCCCGCAGCTCAGCTCACCTTCCCCATCCAGCGCACAGGGATGCCGCGCACCCTGCCCTTACACTTGTAAGGGCTATTACGGCTATTTTTATCGCTGTTTCCTGAAAAGCCACTTCAGTGGCTGCTCAGTTTGTGCTGAGAAACACCATTCCCCCGGGAGAAACCTACCCCAGGGCACTTGTTTTCACAGCCAGCCCCTGCGCGGAGCCAAGGGAGGCAGCGCCTCGCACGCATACTTGGCACAAGGAGAAGGTCCCTGCCGCGAGGTAGAGAAGGGGAAAAATTAGTTCCACCCCAAAGAGCCATGGAAAGCAGCTGCGTGCTGTGGATGCGAGCGTAAGCCCTGCTGGTGCCAGAGCTGGCTGCGTGCGGGGCCAAGGGGTGACATCAGGGAACCCAGGAATGGTGCCTTCACGTTGGCCAGGCTGTGAGCAACCATTGATGTAATTGCTTGTAGAGACAGGGCTGCGCAGGGGTGGCTTCCAGGCAGGAGAAAAGGTTGTTTTTTTTTTTTGTCCCAAGCAGCAGAACGGGAGCTCGCCGCGAGCTCCCCTGGGGCACGCGTGTACCTGCCGGGCTGCCGAAACCAGCTCCTCTCTGCTGCAGGGAGGTCTGTTCAGCACAGCCAATAACCCAGCCTTGCACCCCAACCCCATGTATCCCTCCAGCCTCAGGGCTGGATTTAAACCTTCCTCCCTGGAAACAGGGCTACCTCCTGCCAGCAGTGCCGGCCAACTGGCCTACACAACAGCAACCAGGGTCCTGGAGGAGGAAGAGGAGGGAGAGCCTGCCTGCTCCCTCGCACAGGGATCTTTGATGCTGCCATCCTCCAAAACCAGCAGGTGGGGAAGCTTCCCTGGACCAGTGTGGTCCCCCCCACCCAAAGGGATGAAAGACAGATGCTGTTCCATGCAAGTCCTTGGATGTCCTCTGCTAAAACCAGCACAGTTTGGGTCAAAAAAGTGGTGCGAGGTGTGCGAGACGCGGCGCTGGGCGGGGGGGCAGCTCCCACCTCCTCCCTTGCACCCGCGCTGCCCTGACCTGGGCGCTGAGCCAGGCCAGCACCTCTGTCGCCATCAGCACCTTCTTTGTCCCTCTTCCCAAACCACTTCAGCCAAATGACCGGGGCTTTCCCCTGGGGAAAAAATCCCCCTGCGCCCACCCCCCAGCCCTGGCTGCTCCCGTCCCCACGGGAGCTGCTCTGCAGTCCCTATTTACAAAAGCTGCATTCAGTTCCCTGCAAACCCACGCTCACTTTTTCCAGTAAGTCTTTCTCCAGGAGCTGGATGACGATCCCAGCCCTTCCCTGCGTGTGCCGGCCGGTGCCAATTGCCATGGAGAACCACGGTGCTAACACGGCGCAGACAGGCAGCTCACGGAGGAAGAGTGCTGGGTTAACACAAGTCAGCTATATTTAAAACATTTAATACAAATATGTTTTGACAAGTCCTGTAGTTGTTTCCAGTGAGCGCTGGAGATGCATTTTCCCCTCTCTTAAAAACAGAACAAGGCCCAGAACTCCAAAAAACATCAATTTGTGACTTCTCCTCTCGCTCCTTCCTGCCTGTCACCCTGCCCAGTCCTGCTTCCACCCCAGCAGGGCCCAGTTAATGGAAGAAGCCTCCTGCATCAAACCTTCAGGAGAACGCAGGAAGCTGAAAAGAGGTTACCAGCTCCTCTTCACCGCTTGCGGCGTCACCCCAGGACCCAGGGCTGCCTGCCTTGAGCTCAAGGGTGAGGGACCCTGGCAGATCTCACGAACCCTGGACAGAGGAATTAGTTAAATTAAGGCATTTTGGTCTTCCTCGAACATCCCTAAGGATAAGCCTCCCGTAAGCCCCCATCAGATCCCAGAGCACAGTCAGGATTTGCTACATTCGGAGGAGATTGCACGGGGGAAGTCTTGACCCTTGGGGGGGCTTAGAGGGCTTCTGCCTCCTTTGCTGCCTTGGTGAGCCTCTCCGCGATGAGACCGAGGTCCTTCCCTTTGTCCAGTTTGATGTAGGTGTCCGTCCTGATGGCGTGGATCCCCACCCAGTCGGGCAGCAGCTCTGCGAAAAGGCGCAAGTGTTTCTCCATCTCGCCTGCGAAAAGGAGCGGCAGCCACCAGGTCAGAACTCAGCTCCTTCCTCCTGCAAAGACCCTCCCGCGCCGGTGAGAAGACACCCCCCCCCTTGCTTTCCTACCAGGAGGCATCTGTGCGTCGTAGCTCTCGGCCATGCGGGCACAAGCCACCTCCATGGTCAGCGCCTGCTTCTTCTCCGCCACGAAGACGTTGCGCAGGATGCGGGCCATGGCCGGCAGTCGCCCCAGCATGGCAAGCCGCTCCTCTTGTCGCGGGTCCCGCGTCATCAGCGCTTGCAGCTTCTGCGCCTCCTTCGCCCGGATCTTGGGGAGCGGAGAAGATGGGGGTGAGACACAGGCAGGTCCCCCCAGCACCGGCATTACAGCCAGGACCGAATTACTCACCCTCTCGAGCAGGGCCTGGGACACCCCTTTCAGAGCACTGGAGGTGCTGGCAGGGGACGATGCTTTGGAAACCACCGGTTCCCCCGCACTGGCTTCAGCGGTTCTTAAGGCCAGGTTGGCAAGAGCTTTTTCCATCTGCTCATGTGGAAGAGGGAGGAGAAGTTGGGTTACAGCTGGGAGCCGCTCGCGCTGGAGGAAGGAGAAGTTTCCCCTCCGCCGCCCCCACCGCCACCCCGCAGTCCAGTGCTCTCACTCCGGTGTGTCTGACCCATCCTGCCTGCACAGAGAACGCTTTGGAGTTTTCCATCTCCTCTCCCATCCCCGAAAGTCAGTACCAACAGCTCCTCTAGCCTGAAAGCAGCCCTACACCACAACCTGCAGCGGTAACAGCCAGACTTGCATTCCCACCTGCCTACGTCTTACAGTCCGAGTCCTGCGGCTCTGGAATGATCTTTCCCAACCCCTATCCGGTAACATCTTCCCAGAGAGCCAGCTAGTTTGAGGTCTGCCAGCCACAGATGGAGCCAGACCCCGGTCCTGACTCACCTTGGGCGTCAGCATCCCCCGAGCTGTGCTCAGCACCTCCTGGGCTGTGGTGAGCCTGTCCTCCTGGGGTGGCCGCGGCAGTTCTGCCGGGCTGATGTCCGGCACCTCGTCCACGTTGAAGCGGGGATGCCAGCGGGTCAGCTTCTCCTCCGGCACCACCATGGGAGGGCTGAGGGCGGCCATGAATGCCTGGAGAGGAGCAAGAGTTGTGTCATGGCACCTGCAAGTCAGGTACGGGCGAGCCGGCCATTGCCCCATGCTCCCAGTACAGTTTGGCAACACATAGCAGCTGCGTTGGAGGAAATTCAGAGCCAGGAGAGATTCCAGCTGCCATCTCCCCCACCCACACCTGCCTGCCAAGAGCATCCCACAGGAACCAGCAATATCCTCCAGCCTGTTCCTTCCACCCACTTCTCTAGATGGTGACCAGAGCAACCCCAGACCCCAAAAGCGGAGGGTACTGGGGGAGCCTCACCTTGTGGTGCTGCTTGACGATGTTCACCAGGTTGCGGTTGAACTCCTTCCTGCGCTCCAGCAAGCGCGACGCTGACAAGTGCGGGCGGCCGTCCACTTTCTCCTCTGCAAGGAGAGACATGAGCATCACCCACAGCACCTCGGCAAAGCACGGCAACACCCTGACCGGGCCCAAACCTCGAGAGCCTCGAGAAGGACAGGATCAGAGCCCTGCCGTGGGGATGAGTCGCTGCCAGAATCACCGCCCTATCATCCTCCCACTTGTCCCAAAAATGTTTTCCACTTCCAACACGCTCAGCCCCTCATGCATCAAACAATTGCAAAGAGACCAAGCAGAGAGCATCCCTGGGGATTCAGGGATCCCAGTCAGGATCCAGCACACCCCAGCTCTCGGTCCCACTGCCCCCCCCCCAAGTCATACATACCTTCCCCCAGCACCGGCTCCAGCGTGAGCTGATAGTCAGACTTCTTCACACCGTTGCCAAAGGCGGGGATGTTCTTCTCCTGGCGCAGCCTGTACGAGGTGGGGTATACCGCCTTGATCTGCCCCATGTGCCGCTCCTCAAACTGCCTGCAACAGCAGCCGGAAAGGTCAGGAACCCCAAGGACTGACACCAGGGCATCGCCCCAACAGGTTCAGCTGGGACCCCAAAATGGGTGGCCCAGTGCTGCCAACTTACTTGCGCATCATGTCCTGCACTCCCTGCTTGACCTTCGCAAAGGTGATGGTTTCGGCACGGTTGAAGAGCATCCCAGCAATGGTGTCCACGCTGCGGAACATCTCCGCCAGCACCTTGAACTTGTAGGGCAGCGTGAGCCCCGGCGGCAGGTCCTGCGCGAGGTTGTGGAACCGCTGGTATGCAGGGGGCTTCTCACTGCTGGGAAAGGAGAGGGGTGAGGGTCCACCGCACACAACAGCCATGGGCTGTGGTGAACTCAAGCGCTGGAACGACCCCAGGGACGCAGCCGGGGACTGAGACTGGCCAGGACGGGGGTCCCACTGCTGACAGGGCTGACCTCAGAGCCCAGGAGCTGAGTGCCCACCCTGGTTAGGGGAGACCCCTCTCCTCCCCTCATCCCAAAACTCTTCTCTGAGCAAGCTGTGCCAGTACCTGGATCACACCATCCACCCTTCATGTCTGGGGGACGTGGATGTCCCAGTGCTCATGGCAACGTCAGAGTGGCTTGGACCACGCTCGAGTTTTGCTTCAGAGAAGCCCTTTGCCTGCAGCGAGGTCAGCCAGCGCTCCCACAGAGTCCCCACACCCCCCTCAGAGGAGTAGGAAGACCCCTGCAAAACCACTGTGGGGCTGAGCAGCAGATCAGGGCTGCGGCAGCCACCGGGACACCCCGATTAGCCCTCAGAGCTCCTCACCCAGCCTCTGCTGCAGGAGCTGCCGCCCCGATGTCCCCAGTCGGCTGCGCTCCCGAAGTGGCTCTGCTTCTCGCTTTCTTCTCACGGATCTGCAGCTCCAGTTGCCGCACTTGCTCCAAACGGCTCTGCAGGTCGGTGCTGGCCCCGGCGGGGACAGATGACAGCTGGGTCATCTGGGCCAGCGCTTTCACTCTCTGCAGGCGGCGCCGCAGCCCGGCCAGGTCCTCCTGGGTGGGGAGGGGGCACAGGGTCAGAGCAGGGCTCGCACACTGGCAAGAAACACAAGAAATTGGAGCAGAAAGCCAGGCTCATCCCATACCCTCTGCAAGCGTCTGGTTGTCCCCGGGGGGGCTGTGCCAGGCTGTGTCCCCCCATCCTGCCCCTGGCTGGGGGAGCGGG